GGGATGCATAGAACAAAACACAAAGAATACTAACTACGACTTTATTTTGTAAATAGAAAGCAAGGGGGAAAGCCATAAATCTTCCAGGCAAAGACACAGAAAACTATTGTACATGTAAGCACAGATTCAGGAAGAGAGTTGTTCCTCCTTACTGTTGTTGCTGATGGCAGGTACATGTAAGCAGTAACAAATCTGCACACATTCCTGAATATATGTGGAGAAATGCAAAGAACTGATAGACAGTACATTATAGAAACAAACTGCAAGGTATTTGCACTTTGGAGTGATCATTTGTTAGCTGGCTCCCTGCAGAAGTGAAACAAAGTCAGAACATTAAGAAATAGTTCTCTCTGTAATGTGAATTTTAAATATTAGCCTCCACATGGGCTGAAGACGTTGCAAATTTTTTACTGTCTGTAATTGACTTAATGCAAGATAGTAAGTTCTAAGTTCCTGGTTGTCTTGTTAAACAATAACCTCATTTGTTAAAAAGTATTATGAACATGGTATTGCAAAACATTTACTCTGGTGTGTGAAAGCTAATCCAAAAAATGCCACCAGCTTCATTCCAGAGACGATCAAGTTGTCATCAAATCTGCAACTAGAATGTAAAATTTTGGGTTTATGAGACTTTTCTGCGTATGTAGAACGTCATTCTGACATGCTGGATCAAGATCTTACCCCTTCGTGACAAAAGGGGCTTTTTCTGGTCTTTTCTCACATAGATCAATATTGAAACCATTTAAGTATAGATATGTGTCTACAGCTGGACATATATGCCAGGAAATATCTTGTGATTCTAAAATCTTAGATCATACAATGTCTTCTGTAAGTTCGTTTTTGTGTGGATTCTTTAAAGGGTGACATATATACTTGAGACTTGAAATAGAGAAAAAGGTTCCCATTTTTTACACTAGTTGCAATTACAAAACTGTGATATAAATAAATTGATCATTTTCAGGTGACGGTCAAATTTAAAATTTAAAAGTAATTTAAATTCAAATTTAAATTTAAAAGTATCTTTCTTGACAGAAAACTTTTAAGGTATTGTTTAAGTGGAGGAGAGAAAGGGAGAAAGATCATTCTTGTTCAATTATTATTATTATGAGATGATTTAAAGTGTTGCTTTTTCAAGGCTGTGACTTGTTTTTCAGTAACAGAAAAGTGGCATTTTATCTAAATAACCTCTAGTATTTGTGCTTTGGTACCTCTGGATGGAAGAATCTGGAATTATTTCAGTTACTAATAAAAACTACAGTTTATGAGAAGGTCCATGGCTTCCCTTTAAAAGCTCAACCTCTTTTTAATTATCTGGCGCCACAGAGTGGTAAAATTCTATATTGCTCTAAATAATTTCTGAGAGTTTTCAAATGATGATATAATCATCTCCATCTGAAATAAACATAAACTATTCTACTTACTGACACAGGCAAAGCTCAAGAGGGCTAGAATGTGCAGCTTAAATATTAAAGTTTCTGAGTGTGCATTAGGTTATTTCTTTCGAGGAGAATTTTGACTGGTGGATGTTGATTTGTCAAAACTGTAAAGTTTGTGAGCAAAAAACCCAGTGCTTAGGAAAAAAGCCTTCTGCTGAATTGCAGAAATATGTTGAGACATCCTAGTGAAAATGGCTGTACCTGGTCAGCCAGTTCAGTACCTACCCACTTGATTGTTGTCCTCAAACAGTGCCCAGGGAAGTGTCATTACTCCGGAATACTGTACCAGTCACTAGAGGTTCAGGGACTTTGTAAGCCAGAGGTTTTGTCCTTTGAAACTTTTCTTCTTGTTTTTTTTTTTTTTTTTTTTTTTTTCTCTCTTGTCATTCAGTCCAATTGCTTTTGAACAAATATAATTTTCATGATCCAAAATGTCCTAAAATGATGATCTCCATGGTTTAAATAATTTATTTGGTTTTAGATGTCACCTGCTTCTTTCACTTGATGCCCCTACATTTTTGCAGAGATAATCAAAAACGTTAGATGTTTCTCCTTCAGAGTAAAGTTATGAATTTATTTTAAGGGTTTCACAGTGATATGCCCCTTACTACCTTTGGCCATCCTTCATATCCTACCACATTCTGCACTCAGTGTTTGAGGTGTAGGTGTATTTATGTAGCGACATAGTGATGCTTTCTTGCTTGATCTTTATTCTCTCCCTAGCAATTTCTAATGCTATGAGGCTTTCTTGGTCCCTGGCAAGATTTGTGGCACACAATAGAGCCCAGCACAGCCACAGCATCAGTAATTCAAAGGTCTGTTGCTCCTTACCAGCAGGTCAGGTATTATGAAAACAGCATGACTTACCTTTTTAAGGTACCTAAGCCTCATAACCCCTGCCTGGTGAGCAGTGGTGCGTGAGCTAGTTCTGAGTAAGGTACTTTGAGTACTGGAAACCTGGTGCTCCTAGAGAACAGAGCAATTGACTTGTGAGGGTTTTGCATGCTATCATTTCATTTCTCTAGATGCCTCTTTGCTTTCATTGCAAATGTGGATTCTTCGGGTGTTACCTGACAGCTCCCTGGCACTGTTTCTCCTAACTGGAAAAACTTGGGGAGAGAAAAGCTCTTTTGGAAAGGAGAAAGTTACTGGAAATAGTGTCACAGAATATGAGCTGGAATACACAAAAATGGAACTTTGGAAAGGTTTCCTGAAACTGGCCAGTCTGTAGAAAGAGGATCACAGTGAATGTAAAAATATGTAGGTATTGAACTGGGCTGAAGGAGACTTTGCTTGCACTAAGTGAGGATGAGGATAATTGTCTGATTTGTTTGGAAGGTTAAGTCACTAAGAGCATCCAGTCTCTTTTTGAGCTGAAGATAATCCAGCATTTACAGCAGATCACTGGGACAGGTAGTGCCAAATAACTGTGTCAGTTTCCTTGGAATGGCTGAATGCGAAACAGGGAAAATTCAATGAACCAACAGCGAAAAATTCAGATTACTTTCTTTATGTGTTTGTATGTGGTTAAACTTTTTCTCAATTCCTTTGGCCATTACCATGTCAGAAGTCAGAAGGCACTGTGAACCTTCGGTGCTAAACAGGGATCCAGAAGTTTGTTGAAAGTCCTGAGCAGACCCTAATGGCCTCTGGCTGCTTTAGATTGTTAAGAAAATCACTGATGGGTGAAAGTCAATTGACAAGGAATGACTTTTGTTATATTTTCCACTTTTTCCTTACCTAAACATTGGTGCTCTTAAATCTTTATGGAAGCATGACTGCTATGTTGAGCTGCTCTTTTACAGTAGTCATTTTTCCAATAGCCATTTTCACACTGATTGCAAAAGTTATGTCTTTGCTAGATACAACTCACAGACTTGGGAAAGGATGTCCCCATTTGATAATCTATCACTTGTAAATGATATGCTTATTCCATACATTATGTTCACATGGGACCTGGGAGGATTGTGAAAGGCACAGAACATAGATGTTGAAAACTTTTTAAAAAATATTTTCTGGCTAAAAATCATAAAATTATAGAATGGTTTGGGTAGGAAGGGGCCTTAAAGATCATCTTGTTCCACCCCCCCACCATGGTCAGGGACACCTTCCACTAGACCAAGTTGCTCAGAGCACCATCCAGCCTCTCCTTGGACACTTCCAGGGATGAGGCATTCACAGTTTCTCCGGGCAACCTGTTACAGTGCCTTTCCAGCCTCACAGCAAAGAATGTCTTCCTAACATTGAATGTAAGCCTATTCTTTTCTAGTTGGAATCCATGACCCCTTGTTCTGTCACTACATGCTCTTATAAATAGTCTACCTCTATCTTTCTTCTGGGCTCCCTTCAGATATTTGAAAATTTACTAATGTATAAATGCTTATATAAAAGAAATGTCTGGGTTTGGTTCATAATTTTACAACTTTAGAATATGTGGAATTGGTGCAAATTAGGGACTGTTGGAAAGGATCAAGAGATATGGTTATGAGGAAACAAATGGAGCATGCTTTTCAAATTAAGTTTATTGGATTTTCGTGGTGTGTGGTCAAGCCTCTTCCTGCTCCTTAGATAAAGGTTTGTGACTAGAGCAGCTTGATTTGCATTGGATGGAAAATAGCATTTGCTTCCTCTGGTTCTGAAGTGTAGTTGGCTCTGGAGGGAGGCCGAGCAGCCACTGTGTGCAGCAAGGGCACCTGACAGATTAGGTTCCAAAAAGCACAGCATCCATGTAAATCTGCTGAGGACATTCAGGAACTGAGGAGGGAGAGTAACTAACTACACGGCAAGAAACACAACCTAAGGTCATCATGGGATACATCAAAATCATCACTAATTTTTTCCAAAGCTGAGAATACATTTAAAATAAGGAAAGATTGTTGTGTCTTACAAAGTCCAGTGACTCTGGAGCCCAGAGAAGGGCAGTGGAACTGGTGAAGGGTCTGGAGCACACATCCTATGAGGAGCCGCTGAGGGAGACAAAGTTGTTTATCCAGGAGGAAAGGGAGACTCAAAGATGACATTTTCAGTCTCTACAACTGCCTGAAAGGAGGCTGCAGCCAGGTGGGTATCGGCCCCTTCTCCCAGGCAACTAAAGATAGGACAAGAGGACACAGCCTTGATCAGTACCGGGAGATTTAGGTTGGACATTAGGAAACATTTCTTCAGAGAAATAGAGATTAGACATTGGGATGGGCTGGTCAGGGAGGTGGTGGAGTCGCCATTCCTGGAGGTATTTAAGGAAAGACTGGACGTGGCACTCGATGCCGTGGGTCTGTTTACATGGTGGCGTTCCGTCACGGGTCGGACGCGATGGCCTCAGAGGGATTTTCCAACCCGACGGATTCTGTGACTCGGTGACTCGCGTAGGTTCACCTTTTAGTTAGGACACGTACTTGCCAAGGAAAGGCGGCAGTCGCTGCGGCCCCGAGCAGCGGCCGCGGGGCTCTCCGGTGCCCGAGCGCTCCCGGCGTGAGGCGGGGCCGGGCCGGGGGCGGGGAGCGCCGCGGTTGGCGGCGGCCGGCACGTGGTGGGGCGGGGTGCGGGCACCGGGAAGGGACGCGGCGCCGCGGGTGAGGCTGTGTTGGGGTAAGCGGCGAGCGGTGTTCCTTCGGTGCTTCCCTTGCCTGTTGCTGCGGTGCTCTGCTTGCAGCCGCTTTCCCAGGCGGGCGCCGCCGTGCTCCGGGCCCGAGCTGCCGCCAGGGCGAGGAAGGCCCCGGGCGGGTGCCGGAGGCGGCCCGGCCCGGCCCGGCTCGGCTCGGCTCGGCTCGGCCCGGCTCAGCTCAGGGTCCATCCGAGCTCTCGGTACCGCCGAGAGCGCGGGGTTGTTCGGGCGGGGAGGGCACGGAGCAGTGGCGGGCAGCGGGGCCCGGCGGCGGCCGCCTCTGGGGCCGGGCGGGCCGGCCCTGGTGTGCTCGTGAGCGCCCGGAGGCGCTGGGGCGCCGCGTTGGGCCCCACAGGTGGGGCGGGATAATAGGGGATCTGGAGAGCTTCCCAGAGTTCGTGTGTGTGGAGAGGGGGCGCAGACAAGGTATGGCCGGGCTCCGTTCCGTGGTGCCCGGTAGCAGGACTGGGAGCCATGGGTACAGACTGGAACACGGCGGGTCTGAGAAGCACTGGGTGTGGCGTGAAGGTGGCCGAGCACTGGCACAGGTGGGCCACAGAGGCTGTGGAGTCTCCATCCTTGGAAACATTAGAAAGGTACCTGGACATGGGCCTGGGTAGCTAGCTCCAGGTGGCCCAGCTTTAGCAGGAGGTTGGTCCAGATGAGCTCCAAAGGCCCCTTCCGACCTCAGCTGTTCCATGATAATACGCTTTTGAGTCAGTGACACTGTAGCACATATTAAATCACCATTGCCATTCAAAAAGAACTTGCTATTTGTAACATCCATAATCTCAGAACTGTTTGGTTTGCTGCACAGTTCTTACTTGACATTATTACAAGTTCAATGAGTTCTGAACAACAAAACTGAGCAAGGGAAGTTTTGTGGCATTAATTCCTTGCATCTGTATGATGTTTCCAAATGGTGATCCAGGGTCATGCCACAGACTATGTAAGAAGTGCAGGGAAAACTCCAGTGAGACAGTATGACATGCCTACAGCAATTCCCCTTTTGTATTGCTTCCATTTTGCATCGTGAAGTTTGGGTGAATTTTGGATGAAATGCTGGAAATAGCTGAAGTTGTTAAAATCAAAGACAGCTATTTCCTTGAGAAAAATTGAACAGTTAAAGCAACAAACATTTCAAGACAGTAGGACAGTGAAAAGACCATTATTGTAGGAAATGTTTATAATTATGTTTTTAAAACCGTGTGACCTGTTGTTTTGATTTTTTTGTTTGTTATTTGTTTTTTAAGCAGGCATTTCTAAATCAGCTAAAATGGTTTTAAAGAAGAAGAAGGAAATTCAGGTGGATGCATTCTTTCTTGATCATCATCAGCTTGAAAAACTGCAGAGTAAGTAGGGTGTATTTTTCTGAACTAATGTGTGATTTCTCTTGCCTTTGAGTAGTTACTGAATTGATCTGGTTTTTTGCTTGCTGTGCTTTATTTTTAGTGAATTTTAGGTATGTTTTAGGTTTTGTTTTGTGAATTTTAGGTATGTTTGCTCTGCTGTGGTTTGTTTTTATTGTGTAATGACAGTGACTTCTTACCTTGGCAGAGTCAAAAAAAATCCTTTAAAGCATTGTGGCTTTGATTTGAAAACTCTTTATCTGTGGTGTGAAGGTAGTAGAAGGTCCTATTTGTAGTCCTACTTGCAGGCCTGTAATTCAGTGATATCTGATGTGTTAGCCTTTACATGTGGGATAACACTGAATTTTCAAGAGTCACAGAATGATTGAGGTTGGAAGGATTCTTTGGAGGTTGCTTTCCCAGTCTTTGTTTTTTGTGTAGTTAATTTGTTTCAAAGCTACTGTTCAAATGGTGTTTTTTATTCTGGGGATTTGTTCTGTTTGTTTGATGAGACAGACTTCCAGTGATATTTACTATAAAAAACCCAAAATGAAGTAATTACAAGATTTGTGTACTAAAGTTGCTATGAAGGAGCACCGGTGAGGTCCTACCTGGATTGCTGCATCCGGTTTTTTGCTCCCCAGTACAAGAGTAATATGGACATGTTGGAGAGACTCCAGATAAGGGCTAAGATGGTGAAGGGCCTGGAGCATTCCTCCTATGAGGAAAGGCTGAGAGAGCTGGGACTCTTTGGCCTGGTGAAGAGAAGGCTAAGGGGGATCTCAGCAATGTGTGAAAAATACCTGAAGGAAGGACATAAGGGAGGCAGAGCCAGTATTTTTTCTGTGCTGAATAGTGATAGGACAGGAAGGCATGGGCACAAATTGAAAGATTCTCTCCAAACATCTTTTTTCATGGGAGAGGAAACACTGTTTTAATGTGAGGGTGACTGAGGATGGGCATAGCTTCAATAGGGAAGTTGGGGAGTCTCTCTTGGATACCTCCAGCTTTGGAGGTAATCCTAAGCCACCTGGCCATGGTCCTGGACAGCCGGCTCCAGGTGACCATATTTGAGCAGTGGGCTTGGACCAGATGACCCCCAGAGGTCCCTTACTATTATGTTCCAGTAAAACTGATTTTTTTTTAACTTGTTAGGAGAAAAAAAAAGTGTTAAGGTGTTGTTAGGTGACTTAAGGGTTTGGCACAAAGGGGTTTACTGGAGCTGGAAAAAACCCTAAGAATCAAGCAGGCATTTCTTCTTCTTATAAATTATGTGTTATTTATACTCCTTATTGTAATTACTTTATAAAAAGATCTTCTTCTTCCAAATGTAGGGTTTTCAAAGGCTGAAGAGCAAAATCTGGCATCTCTGCTTCTGCACTGTGCAGAGCTGAGAAATGGTATCCAGCAGATCCAGTGTATTAAACAGGTACAGTTTCACTGTTGTTTAGTGTGGCTTTTGGTAGCTGAGAGTGTGTCCTGTACACTGTTAATGGCAAATACAGCACTAAAATAAATTTCTAATGTTTTGTACATTCCTGGAAACACAGAAAAAACAGCTGCACATGCATCAGGTAGAACTGTAGTTCTAGTACTTAATTAGCAAGGGCCACAGTTACTGAAAATGGTGGAAGGCAAATTACACCAAATTTACTGTTTTGTGGAGATTTTTTTTTTTTTTTCTTGGAACATTATTTGAACTTGAAACTCAGGGGGAAATGGTGAAGAGGAGACAGTTTTGTGTTATATGCTTGGATGAGAGGGAAGTCTACCACTGTTAAAAATGATGTATCCAGAGTTTTTTGTTCATCATGTGTTCTTTTGATTACAGATTATGCCATTGGTGAAGCAAATGTATCAGAACTCTGCAGGTGATCCCATGGTTAAAGCTTGTTTGGATGTTTTGGGAGAGATATATTTTTCCTTGGGTGTGAAGAATCCTTTGAAGAAAGTATTAGCAAGGTAAAAGATTCAGTAGTTAGCCTTTATTTTTTTTTCTTCTCCTTAGCTTGAAGTCAGTAATTTTTCATTCACTATAAATTGCTGTAACTTAATTACTGAAAATTTGCAGTACTTAATATGTGCATATGTACTGGTTTTCTTTCTAAGTTAAAAATCTTTAATTATCAATATTTTCAAAGTGAAGCATTGTTTTGGCCTGTTTCATTATTGGAAAGACAACATAGTGTGTAATTAGCAGTTTGAACTTCAAAATCCAATGTTAGAATAGAAATTTAAAACACGAAACCTCCGCTTTGTCAAGAGAAGAGAGTTCAGAGGAATCCTAACTAAATTGTGGTTTCTTGTGCCTATTTTTATTGCTATTTTTTCTTCACAATTATTGCTGTATTTATTTAGTGAATTTTTTTATAGCCTCAGCATTTTTTAAGATCTGGTGCTGAACTGCCTTCCTTTCTTTGTCTGAAAACATTCACTGTCCTGCTGAGATGCAGGGCTTCCCTCCTGGATTTGGTTGCAGGCACCCCAAAACTGCGCACCCCTCTGAAAGGTTTTCTAGCTGCAAACTGAGAATGTGCATGTTAAGTTTATAACAGATGGTGTTTTCATGCAGGAAGAAACATCTGTGTATTGGAGTTCTAGCTGACATGGATTTTGGTGCAGTGGATATTTACCAACACCTAAGCAAAACCAAACTAAATGTGCTGTTTCTTCGTGTTGCAGCTCACTGAATGGTCTTCCTGGACATTTGATGGTGCCAGCTGTGCAAAGCTTTGTGTGCTGCCTTCGGGAAGAGCTGAAAACCACAGATGTTTATTTGTACAGAAAAGTGCTGGACAACCTTGCTTCCTGTATGGAGGACTTCAGCTTAGGTACAGTGACCTCGAGTGTTCTTCTGGTTAAACTTGCTCAGCACTGATGCCACACCTGATAGTGATGTTTGCAGTTATGTAAAATAGATAGTGCTGGCTAGTACTCAGTACTTAAAATGTATTTTCTTTCCTCTAGGTAGAGCCTGTATTAAGAACCTGTTTGAAGAAGGTAAAGTCACATTTATAGTAAGATAGGCTTCACAGCAGGTTACTGGGGGAGGGGTGTGCGTGGAGAAGTGACATGAAGCAGGCATGAAGATCTGTTAGATCTGATTTCCTCCTGGTTAATTTTCAGTAAATTAGTATCCTTACATGGTACTTTTTTGTGAAAGACAGGACTGATTTATACATTTAATTTCCAGGGGTCAGTTTTTCTTTACTGGGCAACCCTGATACAAATCTGAGTACCAGTGAGCAATTGTGGTAGGGAGAGTCAATATCTCACCGGATTAGGCCAAATGGGTTGGAAACTTGTTTTGTTGCAGGTTGTTTCAAAACAGTTTGAAATTTTGTTTTAGCATTGCTTGTGTTTGTCTATACTGAAATACCAGTTTAGTTTGTTGGTGGAATGGAAGAATGACCACTGTATGGGTAACTATTCATTGTAGATGGGTATGTGTGATGTATTGAGATGTATGTGTGATTTGCTGGATATTTTCTGTTCTATTTCTCTTGTAAGTAAATTTATACCATAATTATTTTCACTAGTTCTTCAGTTTCTGCAAAAGTTGCTGCTTGACATACAGGAGGAAAACAGGCAAGTGAATTCAATAGAAGCTCTACTTTATCTGGTTTTATTTCTCTCTTGCAAGATAATTTGGTTTGGTTTAAAATATCACTTTGGTAGCCATACGTTGATGAAAGATAGAAATATTTTACATTGATGCAGATTTTAAATAAAAGCTGATTCTTTTCTTTTGTGGCAATATGATAATATAAGAGAGGTAAGGCACTGATACTGTTAGAGCTGATATTAAGGGAGGCCTTTGAGTTGAGGTTTTGCTATCTGAATTGTGGCTAAAGAGTGTAATTAATTGATGTAACATTCAGGTAGAGTAAAACTCTTTCATGTTCCATGAATGTTTAATTCAGTATTGATATACTTGACACTTTCCAGGGTTTCATTAAGTGAGGTGGCTTCATTGTGGTCTCGCATTCTGAACTGAGAGGAGAAGGGCACTTAATGAAGTGGTTTGTACACTGAAAGTTTAGGTATTTTCTGCCTTTTTGTTAGAAGAAAGTCAAATCGTAGAAATGTCCTTCATAGATGGAGGAACTACTTGAAAAATTAGAAAAGGGTAGCACTGCATTCTATTGGCCTTTTTGGAAAGTTTCTGGAGAAGTTCAGCTCTGCTTAGGCAGAATCATGTGAATGAAAGTTTGTCACAGGAACCGGCAGAAAATGTAGTAGAATTTGTATTTTTGTTTGTTAGCTTCATTTTAACAAACTACCCTTGAGTCTGCTCCTTGTTTTCCTGTAGATACATATTTGATCAACTCAAGCAATACATTAATTTTTACCATTAATTATATTTAAAGTTGGCAGAATGTGGTTTTCTGGGGATGGTGAAAAATGGTTTTAATTTGCCTTTTGTGTGCTTGCTTGTCTCTTTTTTTTCCACAGAAAGAATCATGGAAATCGTATCGTTCAGACCCAGCTGATGCATGATTTACTGATAGCCATTAAAGTTTCAATGATGCTTATACAGAAATTGCAAGAAAATATCCAGGGAAGTCTTTGGAAACACAGTGAATCTTTTGTTTGGCAAAGTATGTGTAGTTTACTGAAAAGTTGCACAAATTTCCTAATGGATGGTAAGTTTAGTAACATTCAAACCCTAATATTTTTATTAACTTGTTGTCTTTGTGGTAAACAACCTGTATGTATAAAAACTTAAGTTTATCTTGCATGGAAATTGAACTACTGAGATTAATGGGAGTGGGAGCAGTAGTTGTTTTTTTTTGTGAGCTGTGATTTGCAGACTGGAGTTTTAGAGTGCACAGTTTAATTTATCTCACAACAAATACCAAGATTAATGCTGTTATTGATAATTCCAAAACTAACAGAAATGCTTTTGAGAGTCACCAAATGTCTGTGCCTACCAGAAATATCTACTCCTCTATGAAATATGCTGCCAGAACTATTTATGGGCACCCCATAACTGATAGTGTTTTCTTCTCATACAGACATTTTTATGTAGTAGAATTTACACATGTCAATAGTCTCTGCCACTGTCCTCCCTGCCTTAGTTGGGCAGTCTTGTGTTTTCTTCTGTTAAAGATATTGCCAGTTTCTTATTACATTGGAGGGTAAGGTTATTAATGTTTGCTATCCAGGTGGACACTGCAGATTTGTGATGATACAACTAACTACAAGTAGTCTAGCAAAATTAAATGCCATATTTTATAATTTTTCCACATAGTTCTAGCACGCAGTGTTTGCTGCATTCTAATGTGCAATATCTCTGTGTAGCAACGCTCCTGCAGACTGTTCAGACTACCTCAGGACTGGCTGTTATTCTCTTCACCAGAGCTATGTATGAGCCGGTTGAGGAATTACCTTCATTGGTAAGTGTATTTCCTGGCTGGAGACTCTGCAATATCATGGTATTGTTACCCTGTACTATCAGTGTTTTCTGGAGGCTTTGCTGATGCAGATACCAGGGCCTGCCAGCCTCTCTATCAGTCCTTAGGATTATACTCCCGCTTTCTTCTCTCCTTGCTATATGAAGTAATAAGACTTGGGTTTGGAATTTGACAAACACTATTTACAAGAAATCTCTTCAGCTCTTCTAAGTTACGCACAAAGCAGGTTTTCTGCTGTACTGAGGTGCTGTAATGGGTGTGTTTTGGTGTTCCAGATCAGTGACTTGCTCCTTGGGACAACAGAACACTTAGCTGTGCCAGCGTGGTTCGTGAGAAACTGTGGGGTTCTGTGCACAGCAGAACTCCCAGACTCGGTCCTGCTCTTCCTTTGCCATGGAGCACTGGCTATGCTGGATTGGAAAAGTGGCAGCATGGGTGAAAATGGAGAGAAACTATTACTAGATATTGCATCAGTCTTGTTGTCATTGAGTTCAGAGTAAGTTTGTGTTCTAATCTGTTTTGTTTCCTGTTTGGGAGAAGAGGTTTATCTTTCTAATTCTATTTTTGCATGACTTCTATGGTCCTGGTGGAGTATCTCTGATGTTTTCAGTGTAATGATACTAGGTTTTGTCACAAATGGTGCAGTCTTTTTAATATATTCATAAAAACTCTGTAAATTTGAAAAATATAATGATGTAGTAGTAGTATAATATATAGTTCTAAGTTTCAGTTTTTTTCTAGCATGCTAAAATTTTGTTTTCTAACATGAATGGGATAAATTTATCAATTCCCTTATGGTAAGGTGTGTCAGTTCTTATGTAGAGAGACATACTTCAGTTTCAGGACATCACATCCTCTCCTTCTGAAGTTTAGAGGAAAGCAGTGTGCCAATATGTGGAATACTTAAAGTAATGTGAGTTTTAGTTGGTTTTTTTCTGGCTGCTTACATCTAAGGGCCCACCAGCATTATTGGATTGGAGATTAAAATGTGTATTCAGTTCAACCTTTGATTGTGCCTTGGACATCAGTTTTGTGATCTTGTTTTTGCACATAGGATACTCAGGATGGTTTTATATGGCAATGAAAATTTTTCTTTACATTTTCAAGAAGCATGTAACAACATAATGCTGCTCAAATGTTAGCAGGTGCATAGTAATTTTTTTTGTTTTATTGTTGTGGGGCTTGTATGGTTTCTTTTCCCCATTGTTAGAGGGTTTAGCTGCAGCCACTTAATAGCACATCAGGTAACCAAGCATGTACTTGGCAACATCCAGCTGGTCACTTCGGTGTTCATTCCTTTTCCTCCATGAATGGGTTGAGTCTCCTAATCTGTTTTCATGTAAGGTAAATGAATGTGATGAATAGTTATTCTGAAATACAAAATAATTTTTTTTAAAATACTGATAAATGAAGGCAGTAATTTGTTTTGTTTGTTCTTTTTAAAAGGTTAAAAGAATCCAGTGTGGCAACATCTTTGTCTAGAATCCTTGCTATTTGGACTAATTCAGCATTGGCTGCCCTTGTTTCAGGCTCTCTAAATCTAAAAATCAAACTTAATGGGAACTCTGATATAATTGGGAAGCTGCTGGAATACATTTATACACACTGGGACCACCCTCTGGATGCCATCAGACACCAAACCAAATTGATTTTCAAGAATCTTCTTCAGATACACCAAACCACCATTGCTGGATCCAATGGAAAATCAGACCCATTCTTTGCAACGTTGATAAAGCATTTACTTAGCTTGGATTGGCATGTGAAAGGGAAATATGCTTCTCTTGGCTGTCTGGTGGAATGTGTGGGCACTGAAAATATACTGCAGTTGGACAGAACAATTCCAGTGCAAATCCTGGATGTGATGAGTGATCAGTCTCTTGCACCTTACGCTAGTGATCTTCTGGAAACTATGTTTACAAATCACAGGGCCCATTTTACTTCGAGTTTTCAGGAAGGCACCTGGATTGACCAGTGGCACAACATCTGGGTTTCTCCTCTTCTGGTAATACTGTGTGAAGGGAACCATGACCAAACTACTTATATAATAGATTACTATTTACCAAAATTGCTCAAATGTAATCCTGACAGTCTGAGCTACATGATAAGAATTCTTCAGGCCTCTGCAGATGCTAATCTGGGTAAGAAAATAAACTTTGTATTTGTAATTATGATTGGATTTAAAAAATTTTAACCATGTGATTTCTGGTCTATTATTATTGTTAGAATTAATTTGGGAGAAAAATTCCAGTTGCTTATTATTGCTATTTGTATTTCAAGGTGAAAGTCATAATAATTATAAGTGTGTCTCTGTGCTATGAGCAAACTCCCGTGGGTGCCTTATGGTTCTCTTTACCGGGTTTTGTTAGATTTCTGTATTTTCTACTACTACTGTTTTTTATCTCTTACACAGGTGTGTCCAGTAAGAGATTGGTTTTTCTTGTAAATATGTGGATACAAGATTTATGGTTCTCTTGTTTTGAAGTAATTTAGTGTGACTCTAAGATAACGGCTTGTGAGACCTCACAAGGTGTTTTTGTCATATGGCATATTTGATATGAAGCTTTTTGGGATTTAGAACTAGTTTAATCTATCTTTTGGGATTTATGGAGTAGAAATAAAAGGGGGTGGGTCATGTGTTGAAAGTATTGGGAGTTTCTGATGAACACTGCAAGTAGTACATTGCTTGTATTAGTCAAACAGTAATTATTACTGGTTTTCATTTTCTTCAGGCTCTTGCAGTACTAGAGGAGCTCTTGGAGCACTGATGGCATGCTTGAGAACAGCCAGGGCCCATGGACATCTGGAACTTTCAAATATCATGAGCAGTGGTCTTGTATCCACTGAGTGTATAAAACAGGGTCTAGTTCATCAGCACAGCCAGGTAAAGGGACAGTCATTTATGTATCTTTTTAATTAGAATAATTGCTTTGATCCTAATTACTGTGTTAGTATTGTATTAAAACAAAGGTGTCATCATAGGTGTCAGTAACTCTTTCGTGGTGAACTTTTAAATATCTTTCAGGTTTGCATTGATGCTTTAGGTTTACTCTGTGAAACCCATCGCACTACAGAAATTGTGTCTCTGGAAGAAATGCAACTAATTCAATTTTTTATGATGTACAACTTGAACAACCAGTCTCCTTCAGTAAGGCAACAGATCGTTTCTCTTCTGAGAAAGGTAATTTCAAACTGTGAGCAATGTCTAACATGCGTCTTATGTTAGTTGTAACACCATTTTAAAAGAAATAATGAGTATGTTACAAAGTTGCTTGTTGGAAGGAGTAGAAGCTCTAAGACCAGGAGTATGCTTTAAGTCATCACAGGCAAGGATGGCTTAAACAAAATATTATGTGGCAGAGGCAGGGTAACTTAATGGGTGGTGGTGGGTGTTGCTTGACCTGCCAGCACCTGCACACTTTGCCAACACCAAAGCAATGTGCCCTGGAGTCAGCAGTGAGCCTTGTGTTGCCTTTGCTGTGGCCTAAAGCTGTGCTTACATGGACTTGTCACAGCTCAGGCAAATTCAGTCACTTCATCACCCTCAGAAACCTGACCTGGAAAACAAAGTAGAAGAATATTCACTGTGATTTAGCTGTGCCATTACAGTCTGCAGGGAATGAGTCTCTTCATCTGGTGGAACTTGCCAAGGTCACATGTAGCTCATGGTAGAAGGATAGGGATAAAATGAGGAACCATGTATGTATAAAGAAGATCTTTATGGCAGAAGAGAGGCAGTGTGGAAGGAGAAAATAATTAATTTGAGAAGGGAGAAAAGTGAGGGAATCACTTTGGCAAAACCAAAAGAGAAATCCTATCTCTTTCCGTTCTTACCTTGTGCAGACTGAGGAGCATGAGATGGAAAAGTCATGCTAAATGGGAGTGTGATAAGAAAGGAAATATTACTTATAGGTAGTAAAAGAGGTGGAGGAAGCACTTCTGAAGTGAGTCAAACTCTAAAGGACACTGAGGCTGTAGAAATTATTTGCATTGAGTTTTTTTATAGATGAACACAGTTCCACAGAAAATGAGACAGGAAGAGAAGACTTGGCATGAATTTAAGGAGGGAGATGGAAGAAGATTTTGGAGGTGTAGAGGGAGGAGAGAAAAAAATTGGTCACAAGAGAGGTGGGAAGCAAAACCTTGGATTTGGAATGGAGAGGGAAGGATCTGTTCCTGTGTTATGCTGTATGCCAACTTCCTAAAAATTACAAGCAGTGGGATTTGGAAAATAAGCTGGAAATCTGCCTTTCCCTTATTTCACTGTCAATGATTCTTGTCTCACCTATGTTTTCTTTTGTTTTAAAAGTTATTTTGCAGGATACAAGAAAGTTCTCAAGTGCTTTATAAATTGGAGCAAAATAAAACCAAGCAAGAGTTAGTTGAGAAGTCAACTAAAATGCCTCCTTTGAGCATTTTGCAGCAATACAAAGTAAGTAGACTGCTAGAGATGCAGGTAATAGAGGTGGGGTAGCATTTCTGAGAGTTCATTGTTCCTGAACACCACTGGGTAAGTTAGGCACCCTGTGTGTGTGTTAGGCAATAGTGCAGAAAGAGAAAGACCTGTAAAGCCAAGCAGTGCTGGGGAGCTTGTCCACTCTGATGCACTTGTGCAAGTTTATTTTGACTAAATATGCTGTTGTTGATGAACTGAATGTCCATTGGTATTTGGAGGGTGTCTTTAAGGTAAATTTTGTTTGAAACCAATAAAGGTTATTCTATGAGGGATTGCTCTGTGATGTGCATTGAAACAGCAGTAAGTGAGGAGCGGCTGGAGATGTACCCTCAATCCAAAAAAAAAAAAAAAAAGAATATTGGGCAAATGTCCTGTCATGTGCTGGCCATTTTGATGTGTGTTAGTTACTTGGACTTAAAACAGAGATCAGTTGAGCTTCAGTCTTTTTCTAGGTCTCCAGAATCATCAGTGAGTGAGAGAATGAATGACAAGAGCTTTAACATGAAGACTTCTTTTGTATTTGTCCTTTTTATTCTATTTAAAGGCTCATAATCATCAGTATCTTTGTGTCAATCTGTTCCTTGAGTACTGCTTTTCTTGGTCAGCTAATTTTCAGGATTAGATACAATGGGTGTCTTTTTGTGGGCCTGGGGAAAGGAAACTGTTGTATTTAAAAATCCAAATGATTGTCCAGCCTTCACTGTTCTCTAAGAAACAAAAAACTGTACTGTGAATGTTTGCCTCCTGTTTTTCCAAAATTAACTGCAAGGTCACAATTTTTGGAGTAAAGCAGAATGTCCTGAGTTCAGTTACTTAGGCTTTTGTTTGTTGGGCAGCAAGTACATGGTCTTAATTTTTTTCTTGTGATTTTTTTTCCCCTCCAGGATTTCATGTCATCTGTATGTGCCAGACTTTTTGAGGTATTGTTTCCTGGTTCATCACACCCAACCAGGTTTTGTGCACTAAGTATTTTGGAATCAATAGCGGAAATATTTTCTGTTCCAAAAGGTGAGAAGTCTAACTTATAGATTTAATAGACTGCAGGAATGGGAGGTATTGAAGACGTGTCTTTTATGCTGGCTAGTCAGTTTCTGTCAAAGTAAAAGGGTAGTCTTAGTCCTTTATTTCTGTGGCATTTCCTGCATTACTTTTGTTTTACTTCAAGGGAGCATAGTAATTTTTTTTTTGAAAAAGCAATATTGAAGTAAATACTAATAATTGCCTGTTGTATATCTTCTGTAAATTTGGATTTTCTTGCGTAGCCTGTTTTTTAGGAAGGTTTATTTTTTTAATATAAGGAGAACTCCTGGACAAATGTCAATGTATTTGGTAACCTCGCTCCTTTTTCCTGCACATATATCTTGATAGCTCGAAATGCTGAATTCACAAAAACTCTTGACTGAAAAATATTGCATATCCTCTTGCTAAATAAAAAACAGTTTTATTGTCCTGTTAATGATGATATGCTGGTGTTATTTTAAATTTTCTTCAGGATTTTATGGCAATATTAATAATTATTTAGAGCTTTGGAGTATTGATATTCTTGCTAAATCTTGTCTCTGGATCACGTGGTCAACATAAAAATATGTGTCGGTCCTAAATTGTAACCTTTTCTTTAAAAAAATTGGTTGTCTAATATTGAAGTTGATTTTTGAGAGGGAATAAAATTGCCATCTTGCTAAATAATTTCTCAAAACCCCTGGATAAATGAACACATTAATGTTATTATTATGAGTATGTAGTATATTATTACTGCTTTTTTTAAAAAAATAGAGAGTATCCTCAGTTGTTTATAATAGCAACTGAGGATTTTATAAATTGGACATTACTTCTATAAAGGCAATTCAGCTGTTGTGTTCTGTGCTGTATTATGGTGTAGTTGTTTACATCCTAAAATTTCTGCCTTCTTTATAGCATTAAGTCAAGTCACCAGAATTCACAACTCATTTATATCTAAATTAAAACCAAAATAAATTGTAATGGCTTACATTTTTAGGGATTATTTCTATGACAAATTAACTGAAAACACCAAGCGCCAAAACACACTGAAGCTTTCAACCTCTTTTTTGAAAGGAATTATTTTCAAATATTGCATACTTACAGGAAAAGAGATTTTAAGCAAAACTAAATAAAGATTTTTGTAATGCTGTGTTTAAAGGGGGTAAATGGGATTCTGTTTTATTTTATAAGTTATTTTCTTTATTACTAAGAGTGATTTTTTAAATAAGGTAAGCTTTTTTATTCCTAACAATGGTAAATATGGTATTTTAAGACCTATTAAGAGAAATAATATTAAAATAATAATTTGGCTAAAATGTAATGCTGCTTTTAGCAAAGGAGAATATGAAGAGAATGCTTATTCTGGAAAGAGTTACAGCACAACTATCTAAGGCATTAATTTCTTTTGAACAGGCCAGGCACAAGTTTTCCAGTTACATCAGGAAATTCATTCTGCTCGTGTCCAAACTCTGATCCAGTGTTTTGCCAGTACTTTTGAGGAAGTAAAAATTCTGGCATTTAGACTTCTGATGAAACTACGTGATGTTGCATTGAATTTACAGGTATGAACTTGAAGAGTTTAGAGGGAGTAATTTTGTGGAAGATGGATGTTCTGTATTATACCAGGTGCTTGTGTTAGGTACAGGGCAGGAATCCCGAACCTTAGAAGCCAGTCCAAATTGCCTGCAGTAGTGTTCATCACTACCTAAGGAGGCTTGTTTCACTAGTGGATGAAGGAGTTTGGGAAGTTCATTGGGTGGGTATGACTATGAACTATCAGAGAAATAGTTAATGCAAGGCCTTGGCTTAGCTGGACTTCTCTTTGTAAATGATTGAGACATTTTGACTTGGTTATTCTTGTACTTTTAGGAAATTCAGCTCCCTATTTCCTATCCTTTCTGATTGATCTCAGGTTTCATTATCTGATTGGTTTCTTTGATTCCTCACAAATTTTGCCTTTTGCATTGATACTGATTTGTCTGTAATAACTTGATGAAAGTTTATTTTAAAATTCATTAGTACAGATGAACAAATACTGCTACCAAGTAAGCTGTTCTTCTCTTTAATGTCCATTAGCCGACAAAACACATTAATTTGAAAAAAAAAATTTCCTGTGAGGTGCAGTGTAATTGAATATTGCTTTAGAAATGGCTGTCGCCATCCTCAATGTCTGTGTAATTGTATCCTTGCTAAATACATGCACATGCGTGTTTTGAGTGTAAGGTCATGCACAAAACAAGTGTTTTTAAAGAAATATGTACCAGCAAACTTAATGAAAAGCAGGTTCTCAGATTCCAAGGTGGTAAGAAGCTTAATTAAATCAATCTGGAACCTCAACTAGATGAACAATATTACTGCTTTGTTTTTTTTTTTCAGGATTCTGAAAATCTCAATCTTCTATTCCAAGCAGCAATTGATCTTAGCACAAGCACCAAGCCATATGATTGTGTCACTGCTTCATATTTGTTGAACTTTTTAGTATATCACAAAGGACTGCAGCACATTTGTTTAGGAAAATGGCTTGAGCATAACCCCCAGCTGGATGAAAACACATCAGTGAGTACAGTGGAGAAGAACACTTTGGCAGGTAACATTTTTGGGGAAAGGTTTTTTAATATTTGTTGCAAGTTTGCTGCTTTTCAATAAGGCTTTTGGTAGGAGGCTTAGTAAGAGATCCTTATTTCTAACAGGATTTTAAATATATTGTATTTTGTATGTATACATAATACATTGTATGTATTTTATGTATACATTCTTTAGTTAAGATCTTAATCTAGTCCTGTTTGTGTTGAGGCTGTTGAATATTCTATCAGATGGCTTTTGCCATTATTTTGACCAGTGACATTGTATTAATGTGGCTGTAAGGGTGAAGTCTGACTTGCAGTATGGTGTTGGTAACTTCTTGTGACTTCATCATGAGCTGTGGAATTGTCCCTGAACATAGGATGTAGGCTGTGCTTTTCACAGCTGCCATTTGGTTCATAGACAGATTAAACTGACTATAACAAATATTGCTGGAGTTCAGGTAACTGATGATCAACGTTAACACATGTTTCAATGACAAAATAGGGAAAAGTATAATAAAGGAAATCGCTGTGCATGTTCCATTGAATTGTTGTGTACACAGATTTTATTTCTGTTTCTTAAAGCAGATTTGTTTCTTTGAAAATCGGTATTGAATGTACAATGTAAATCTGTACTTTAAAATATTTCAGTTATCAAGCTTTTGTTGGTGAATGTTGAAGAAGAAATATTCCAAGCCAAGAAGTCTCTGCTTCAAGCAGCAGCATCATTCCCCATGTATGGGAGAGTGCACTGTATAAATGGGGCTTTGCAGCAATTACCCTTCAAGTAAGTAAAACATACTAAATAAGTTGTAACTCCATATTTTAAGCAAAACATACTAAATGGAAAGTTGTAACTCCATGTTTAAATGCAGTGGAAGAGGTGTTACGGAGAACAGAAAATCATGCAGTACTACTTATATGGAAAGCTGGTACCTGTGGCTTTTAGAAGTCTTCTGACTGCTGCAGTGTTTGATGATTCCTTTGTATGTGGTAAACTCAGCCTTAAGACTTTTCAATCTCTACCCTTTTTATTGTTTTCATAAAAACTGTTGCAGAAGTGTTTGTAATTTTGGTTCTTTCTTTTAAATATGAAATTATTTCTAATCCATGTGGTGTTTTGGTTGTGATTTTGACTTTTTTTCCTTAAGTAACTTGACACTGGTGTCTGAATGGAAGGAAATAGTGACCAGGCTCATTCTGATGTCATACAGCCTCTCTGCTGTGGTATCACCAGTAGTACAGAGCTCATCACCAGAGGGTCTTATTCCAATGGACAGTGATCCAGGTAAAGAACCAGAAAGAATCCCAAAAGAATTATTTTCAAATCTGATGCTCCTTCCGGTTCTCTCTATCTTGCAGTCATTCACAGCTAGACTGAGCACCCCTTCCTTTCAGCTTCTCATTTTATGTCATAATTTTTGGTCACTCTTAATTTCTGATAAAGTTTTCTTGACTTCTTCACTAAAAAACCTACAAACATTTGCAGAGTGTATTGTTGCACCTCTTTCAAAATGGGGGGCTGTAAATTCAGGTTTTTTTCCTTGATCATTCTAATCACTGTAGAACCTTGTGTTTTTTCTTTCTTAATGCTTATAGCTTTCTTCTGTATTTATATACCCAAAATGAATTACATCAGTTTTGTCTTCTACTTCCATTTCTTTATACTATGTTAAATATCCCTCTTGTTTAATGTGCAGAAAGTGCAGATCGCCTGCAGGTGATTCTGCATGAGATACAACCACAGGACACAAATGATTATTTTATGCAAGCAAAAATTCTGAAAGAACACTGCAAAGAAGGATCTGAAAAGCTAGCTGACCAGAGCACAACGAAAAATATTTGCATGGAAATGAGAGGTAAATCCAAGGCTGAACAAATAATTAAATCAAGGTATTTTTTATAGAGGAGTCATTTTATGTGGATGATCGGTTGGAAATTACTTGCTTGTGTGATGTTTTAGTTCTTACCTGTCGGAAACTAGTTATCCATGGACATGGCTTTAAAGAATGATTCACTATGCTTCTGGAAGATTGTGGTTAATCTCTCTTAAGACACAAGTGAAAGTCATTTATTTTGATATTGGCCTAGACTCTGTTGCCTTAACTGCACAGGCCAGGTAATCTTGAACACCTTTTCTATCAAGCAATGATTCAAAAGTATTTCTTGTTGAGAAGTGTTACTCTAATTTTCCTCTCCAGTGTACATGAGGCCGGTGGAGACTATATTCATGCAATACAACTTGTTGCATAAAATTACATAAGCAGAAACTTCAGCTTGAAATATTCTAATGGTAAAATGTTAGGTAGTATTTGTCTGTTTTAATGAATAGCAGCTATGAAACTGAACCTTTCAACGATAAAGAAATTGTCAACTTTGACATCTTTAGTGTAGGCCACAATAAACTTATAGAATATCCGTGCATTTTAAAATTTAATAGTTTATGCAAGTTTCTGAACTTCCTTTCCCCGGTTGCTTTTTCGTATGTTTGAAATGCTCGTGGCCGCCTGTTTTCCTCCCCGAGAACAAGGGTAATAAACACGTGCAAGTGCCGCAGTGGCCACCAGGTGGCGGCCGCGCGTCACAAACGCCTCTTCCTTCTGGGAGCCTCCTGGGGCGCGTCCGGGAGCGGGGGATGGGGATGAGTGCCTGCCTGCGAAGGTGCACGTGTTGCTGTGCCTCGGTGTGCGAGTGAATAGGAACTGTAACCAAAAGACCTCTACTCTTTAGGACAGCACTTCTCTGATAAAATGTTTATACTACTGCTTTTTCCAAGTGCAAGAAAGTAAAGCAATGACTGAGCAGGCAGTTAGGGTCAACAAGATTGAATTGTCTTTTGGGCAGGCAAGTTTAGAAGTTTTTTCATAGTTAATTGTGTTTTGTAAGACAGGCTAAGTGAAGTTTAATTTACACAGCTGCATCTGAGAACCTTGAGTTACGCTATTGCATTTGTTGTCTTTTTGTTTTTAAGGCAAAGACAGGCAAGTGTGTGATGTCACAGCTCAAATGGTTCTTGTATGTTGCTGGAGAAGCATGAAGGAAGTATCTCTGCTCTTAGGGACACTGTGTAAACTTTTGCCTTCACAGACGACATCTGAACCTTCAGAGGGATTGATTACTGTAGAACAGGTAGGGAAATAATTTTCATAATAAAATTTGCAATTTCTTCTTGCGTGGTGGTGAAGCAAAGGCAGTTTTCAGAAATTTTTTTCCTTAAGTCTGTGTTCTGTTTAGGAAAAGTGCATTTTAAATTTCATTTAATTGCCATGGTGTAAGGATTTTCTTGGTTCTACTTGGTTATCAGTCTTGTTTTGATCCAGTGATATTCAGATCCAGTGATATTCAGATCCAGTGCCATCTCTAAAAACAGATAAATGAAGAAGTTACTATACATTACTAAAAAACTCATTCATTCTAATTGTATTGGGTTATTTATGAGATGTGTGATGTGTTTAGGGATACCAATGCCTGCCTGCCACCCTCCCTGTTGTCTCTCTCTCAGGATATATTAGTCACTAATCGAATTGCTACATTCTAAACTGACTTCCTATTCAAAGTCTCTTTTGTCTCATTTTTAACTCTACATATTGGGATTCTGCTTAAAACTCTTCCTTAATTAGCATCAGAGTCAAGAGTTCTGAAAGTCAAACATGCTGACTAGTCCTTGTCGTCCTCTTATTCATTGTTATGAATAATTTGTATGTAATGTGACTGTATCTTTTTTCTCTAATTTTTTTAATATGAGAATCAGAAATGTTAATATGCCATCTGGGTCTCTTGCAGAACGTTGAGTTCAGTGTTTACAAGAAATTAGATTACCACAGGCATTTATTTGGGAAATATTTTGTGTTTATTAAATTTCTGGTTTAATTGATGACCTTTTCATTTACATATGTTTCAACAAAACCAGTTTGCATAGAAGACTGAAATATGAAAGACCAACTACTTTTAACCTCTTTTTCTTTCCAACTGAAAACAGTTACTTAGTTTTTCCTTAGGTGTTAGAACTTTACATTTTAAAATAAAACATTTACATTACATTACGTTAAAATTAAACTTTACATTTTAAAATAGTATTACATACTCCAGATTTTATTTCTTATCTGATGTTGGGGTGCCATGGAAATAGTGTTGGTGTCTTTATTCTTGCATTGTCTCCAATCCTCATGTTTTCATCTGGTTAACAGCTGTGCTTGTGTTGTTGCTTGGGGTCTGGAGGGCAGATGAGAGACCAGAGATCATTTCCACCATTATGTTCCTTAATCTGCACCAAGTCACAGAGGAATTGGTGTTTTAGAATGAGTTAGTTCTAACTGCAGCATCTCTGGTTTTGAAAGCAGACACTGATAGGTGCTCTTTCAGAAATAATACATTATTAAGGAAGGAGCTGGACGTCCATGATCCTTGTGGGTCCCTTCCAGCTCAGGATTTTCTGTGATTCTATAAAGATACCTTCTCTTCCTATAGAAACCTCTTCAACTTGTTAATGCTTCAGATATCTTCCTGTAAAACAGAAGAAGAAGAATGCTAATGGATGAGAAGTCAGTTTGAAATCCTGATTTTCCTCAGGCTTGCAAGGAAATATCCAAAGAAAACTGCAGGCATTTTCTCTGTACTTTTTGTAATTTTGGGTCATTACTGTGTTTTGTACAAAAAAAAGGAGGGTTTCATGAGAAATGACAAAAAATATCAATGCCATAACTGCTAGGGCTTCAGATTTATTAATCACTTGTCAGTGTTGACAAATAAGCAAATTGGAATTTGTTGTCTTATGCATGTAGAACTTTTCTTTCAAGTTGCATATTCTTTTTCTTCATTTTGGAACTATTGGAAGAGATATAAGAATACAGAGAAGGAAAACTTTGAGAGAAACCTTGGTCAGCTTGCCTTGAGCCAGGCTAAGTAATGGTTGAGAAAAATCAGGTAGCACCTCTTGGCCAGCATGTGCCATGCTTTTGCAAATCTTCCTCTTGTTGTACCATGCTCCACTCCATCTAGGTCAATAACTATATTGAATTGTGCTTTAGGAGATCAATGCTCTCATAACTTACCCAAAAGATCACAGGGAGTGTTGAGTTAGCTCACAGTCTTCTAATTGATTGTACCTGTCTTTTTAATGGAGCATGCAGCTGGAAGTGCAGTGTCTTACAGTGCTGGTGTGCATTAGGAAATGGCACAGCAGAGCTGCTTCTGGGCAGGCAGTGTGATGCTGGGGGGCTGCTCTTTGCAGCAGTAATGCTGCCTGTTGTGCTGTGTACCTGTGGGGGAGAGGTTGGCAGGGAGGCAGCTCCTGCATGATCCTTTATGTTGATTGTAGGAAGCTGGGACAACATCAGATTTACTCTTCTTGTCGTTTGAGTGAGAGATTGGTTTATGTGGCAGTCTTCAAAACATCAGCTATTTTACATGGTGGCCATGCTTTTAGAAATAATGGACGTAGGAAGTGCAGAGTACAGCTGGAGGAATCTCGCTATTCAAATGCTGGAGGAATCTCACTATTCAAATGCATACTTTTCTTTTTCCATATGATCCTAAAAGTCCAGAGATGGCAGGCTCAGAACTGTGCCTGTTAAGGAAATCAATATAAATAGTATCGTCTAACCACCAGAACGACATCTAATAAAGATTCTGTGGGTTTTTTTGTCATATGACATACAAATCATGAGCACTCTGAGTCTGGAGAAACATTTAGTTCTTTCTCAAACTCCTGTTTATCTCACCTGGGAAGTTTTAAGACCATTTTAGGAGATAAGTTTGCCAGAGCTGTGTGCCACAGTGAAAAGAAGCAGGCAGCAGAAGTAAAGACTGAGTTCTCCCATGGCCTGTATTAATCTTTTGGAACACCTTGGAGAGAATTAGAACTTGAATACCCAGATTCTTGCCCTCAGCAGCACATGTGACCCTGTACATAGTTGAATTAGTAAGGTTCACCTGTTATATTCTAAATTTCTGACCAAGAACTGAGTTATGGTAGTGCTGCTTCCAGCCTGTGAGTTCAGTTTGATGCAAGCTTCTAGTCAGCGTGGGTGTTGCATGAAACTCAGAAGTGTAAATAGTAAAGTTGGAAGTATGTGACAAAAAAAAAAAAAATCCTGTGAATTCTAGAGGCAAAAGGGTGGTGCTGGGACAGGCTGGTAGATTGATTTACATGTGTATGGATTTCTTGATTTGGTTTTGTTTATACACCTGGAGAATTGCCCTGTCTGTGGGTCAGTTCCTTGTGAATAAAGGGCACTTACTCCTCTTTTTTGGACTAGAAAGCTGAAATTAAATCCCATGGCTACATAAGCTACTTTAAAATCTACTCAGAAATAACTTTTTTAGCTCAAATATCTCCAATTATTCTGTGTTTCACATTAGGTAAGTTTTAGCTGCAGGAAATATGTAGATGGTCCCAGATTTTTTTTTCTTAAATTATTGAAATCTCATTGCTTGGGTGAGACAAATTACTTAACAGGAGGTTGAAAAACCATAAAGGTAGATATGACATTAACTTCTCTGACGACAACTTAATTACTTGTCAGGCTATTAAAGTATTAGAGCAATTGTATAAGTAACAGCACAAGCAGAATTTTATAAGCAACTTGATGTGATTTTATGCATGTTTTTGTATAAAAGATTTGGAGAAGCTTTCACTGGAGAACTTTTAGGAAAGAGTCCTGAAGTAAATTTTTGCATAAGGGCATTAAGTATGTGCTATGCATTGTAAACAAATCAAGTGGGAAGTTTGATTTAGACCTTAAAGTTGATGAGAATTAAAAGAAAAAACCCAATGAACGAGACAGCCTATCCTTCGTGGAATGAGATTGTGTGATCTGTAAACTTCCTAACAGATTTAAAAACTTTGTGTTGTAATAGAATTCTAGAAAATAAACTATAAGTGAAAGTTTAGGTATCACATTTACAATTTCAATGCTTTTAAAAATAGCTCAGATTGTAACACTCATTTAAAAATTGTTTCTAATGGTCAACAGCAATTATGCAGAATTCTGGAACATTAGAAATTTGCATTTATAGATGTATTACCTAATCTAATGTAGATTTGTTTCCCTTCGGTACAATTTTTGGAGTTTGAATTTCATATCTTAAATATTTTTAAGAATTTTTTCTGCTCGTGTGCTTTAGTTGGCATTTTCTTTGTAGTTTTTGGCAAGACTGCAGGCAAACAAGAAGGAATCTGCATTTGTTTCCCCTGAAAATCAGAGTTGTCCCTTTCTTCTCTTAAAATCTGAATATGTCCATCACAGACAAATAACCAATTTCATGTCCTTTATATTTTTGGACTTTTTGAAAGGATATAGAACTACCCCCTTAAGCTAAAAAATGACTATAATTGTTATCATTAAAGTGAGTGGGTGTTTATTATAGTTGCTTTTTGCTTGTACCAGTGACTCTTCCAGCCAGATTGTTGCTTTGAACTGCAAAATATTTTGCATATATAAATAAATTGTGTATGTAATTTCAAATGGCTTATCAAGTTTTTCTTTCTTTATTAGGTTAAAAATATTGGTGATTACTTTAAACATCATCTGCTGCAATCAAGACACAGGGGTGCATTTGAATTGGCATATGCTGGCTTCGTGCAACTTACAGAAATGCTTTCCAGGTAGGGGATGGGCAACTTACCGTGTTTTTAATACAAGTTATAACAAATTTTGGCATCCACCCTGAAACTGGCTGTGCAGACAGATCCTTGCTTTCATGTGGATTTTGTTTAAGTTTGGTGTAGGCATGATTATGACAGTTACATGATGTCTGTGACTTGGACTACAATACTTACGGTTAGAGATGGTGCTTAGGCATTGAAAAATGATACAGACATATAATGCTTGCTGCATTTTTCTTCATTTCTGGCATGTTAGTTTCCTGAACAGCTCTTAAAAACTCTTGGGGAAAGTAGGAGTGTAGAGTTCTTCCATTTCACTCCCCTTTTCTGGTCCTTTATGAAAATGTATGCCAGACTTTTTGCTTTAGCCAGGACATTTTCTTGGAAACTTCTGTTACCTGTCACGGAGTTGGTTATTGTGACATTTGGAAGACTACCTGACAGTGCATCACAGGGTGTGATATGCACTCTGGCTTTTTTCTTTCCCCTTGTAACTTTATAGTTTCCTAGAAGAACTAAATGAAAAGAATTGTCATGAGGTCTGGGCAAGATCACTGGAATTTCCATTACAGGCTTAGCTGCTGATTTCAAGTGCTGGTTATGTTTCTTTGTGGTATACAGTGTTTATGTCCCATCCATGTTTTAATAAGTCAAATTAAAATTTCTACTGACTAGGTAGAGTTTGGTAAGGCTTTTTTGTTGTTGGGGTTTTTTTTTAATATGAAAGACCAGTCAGATTTTCAATTTGAAGTACCTGTGTTTTCACACCAATGCTAAGTAACCAATGTTCCCCTTTTGCCCCATGTCAGCCAGTCGGAGGTGCAGATCTATTTCTTTATTTCATACTGGAAACAGTTTTGGTGCTTTTAGTACAGACTGGCTGGTTGATCAGGTTCACTGGGTGTCTCCTCAGAAAATTTTCCCAACAGAAGTGAGGCTTGGTCTCTGCTACAGGATGCTGGGTGAGGCTTCTGCATCTGGGTACCAGCACTGCAACAGCAATGGTATTTGACACGTGGTGGTGTTGATTCTGTGTGCCAGTGGGATGTTACACTGCATGCCATGATTCTCTTGGTGATCTCTCTCTCCAAGGAACATTACTTTCTTTCAGGTTGTAGCAATCTGAGGGATTTCAAATTGGCTTGAGGAGCTTGTTGAGTGCTCATGCAACCTTGCTTTACGCTTGGTTGTTTACTCAAAAAGAAGAAAAAAGAAGCTTATTGCTTATCTTCTTGCCTGTCCATATGTTTTATATGCACTTATATATTGGGTATGTTCTTCAGTATACAATTGAAGAACATATTCAGTTCTTCAGGTATTGGGAGGTTCTTCAATACCATGAAAACTTGGTTCCGGAAGTTCTAAGGTGTTGTAAGTTTTCTCCCATCAATGTGAAGAGAGAGTATGGCCAACAGAGTAATTACAGTTTAAAAAAAAAAAAAACCAAAGCAACCAACAAACAAACCTTTTACTGCCATGAGTCTATTTGGGAGGAGAAAGGAGGTAATCCAAAGGTACAGCTCCACTGGTCTGATCTCAGTCAATATGCAGGATTCTCTTATAGCAAAGGCAAAGTAAGAAGCAGGGAATAATGGAAAACATATAAAACATGCCATCAGTTTATAACAGACTCGCTATTTTTCTTTGATTTTCAGTTTTAAAATGGCTTTTAAAAGTGAGGCAAATAGAGTAGAGCAAATATACCAAGATTTTGGAAAAGTTGCTGATGTGTTTGTTGCCTCTCCTGCTTTCTGCCATTGTATTTAATGGAGCACAATCCACTTAACAGCAGCTTATGTTAGGTTGCAAAATGAAGAGCCAAGCCCAAGAGAGCCATGCTTGCCTGAAAATTATTTAAACATTAAGTGATATGTATGTATCATCCAAAATAAAAGCCCTCCAAAATTAAGGAAGTTTCCTCTTCTGAATTAACAGATGTCTGTTACAATTTTTTTGTTATCCATACTGCCTAGCATTTTTAAAGTTAAGATATTTCAAGAAGAGCAAGTGTTCCTTTGGGAAAAAAGATTTATAAGAACTGGAGATCAGCTCTGTGGATGTACATTCATTTCAACGAAAGACAATATTTTCCAGGAACTACAGGTCTCAAGGCTTATATTTGTATTTAAAACAAAGGAGAAAGTAGACTGATACCAGAACAGGAAATGACTCTTTGATTTGGTACTCCTGGGATATGAGGAATATTTTGAGACTCTCCTCCAAAAGGGGCGGATTAAGTCTCGGTGAATGCAGCTGCATTGCAGGTCTGTTGATTGTCATGGAGTCTTTCCGTGTCCCCTGCTGCAGCTGGGGGGCTCCATTCTGCAGGTGAATCTCAGCTGGCCTGCCTCTCTCCATAGCCGAGAGGCTCGTGGGCAGTCTTGAAGCATGAGTGTCAGAATCTGTATTAATTTACTGCTGTGTCCACAAATGCTAGAGGAGAAAGCTTTTGTCGGGGGCAGCTTATCGTAATGTCCAGCTTAGCATGATACCTTGTTGAGCAGGATTGAACTCTAGATGTGCAGAGGCATCCCTGACACTTGAATTTGTTCTTTCTGTGAAACACAGTGAAAAATCTGTCTCTAAGACTGTGGCTGATCCTTTTCCCAGGCATTTATGAATAACTCCAGCTGAACATAGTCCTTCACTTATGTCTAGCCAAGGACTTTTTAAAAACTTTATGCTGCGGTGTCTTTTATCTGAGCTTGCTTTTAGCTGTACAACCCTTAAACACCAGTCCTTATAAAAACCAAGAACAGACTTTTTTTCGAGACAGAATGATGGTATTCAGACCTGTTTCAGTTAGTGGTGAAAGAAAAATATTTCCTCTGCAGAGATTTCTTACAAACCTGATGAAATTGATCTGTCTTGAAATTCGGATGTAAATTGCTGAGTCTGCTCTAATATGCGAGTTACCATTCTTCTGTTTCCCTGTTGATACTCCTTCTGGGAGTGTAGTGCTCCCTTTTCCATGCCTGCTTAATGTTGCCTGCAGCTGCACCTTCAGAAAACAGTACAGTTACATAACAACCAACATTGATATCAATGAAATGAGCAATGTGTTTTTAAAAAGAGTATTTCCTGTCGAAGGCCTGGAGAAATTAAAAAATCTTCATTTGGTCTGATAACATGCTGGTTCAGGAAAGTCAGAAATCCGTTTTAAAATTGAAAGCTTGAATTTCCTGTAATCCTTATTATGCAATTTCTCTGTCCCAAATTACGTTTTGCCTGCTTTGCATTTCTTTTATTCAGTGATCTCTTTGCTGAGAGATTAGGTAGATTTCTGGAAATCTGAAATGGTATTGCATAGTTATGGTGGTAGTGCTTTTCTTCGCTAAAGTTGAAGAATGCAAGTGTAAGGTTTGGGAAGAGTAATGTCATACAGTGCAATGTGTTTACTTAGGAACAATTTATTTTGAACACTTTCAAATGTTTGATTGGAACTTAAATAGTGGTGAGCACTATTTTAGGGGTTGCAGTAAGTTGAGTTCATAACAGTTTTCTGGAAAGCTGTAGTTTACTAAAAGAAAGATGAAAATCATGCTTTTATTTAAAAAATGTTTAATCTGCCAGTATCAGTGAAAATTACTTACATGTACCTAGTCAGTGTCTGATCTTCTGTAATATTTCTTTTGGAGAAGGCTAATCCTTTGTAGTAAACTCTGCTTCTCTCTCATTTTTTTTTTTGCTCTGAAGTGACTGTTACTCTTTGCTTTCCCAGCCTGCTATGATCTGCCAGGAAGACTTGTAAAATGGAAATACCACTAATGGACTTTCTAGTGAAACTTACAAAAATTGTAAATAACTTTTTAGCAAAAGTATAATAATGGATGTGGGGGAAAGAATGTGAAGGGAGAGAAAGAAAGTGGGAGAAACACTGCTCTTATATATTGTGATGCTTATAGTGTTAGGAAATACATGACATAAGGAAGCATAAAATACAATGTTAAGGCACTGCTCAGGTTGAAGATGTATTAATTTTTAACACTGTTCATGTTTCCCCTTCCATTACTTTTCCTGCTTGGTGTGAGAGATTTGGGGTAATGATATTGTGTGAAATTTTGAAGCCACCCAAGGTTCTCTCTGCTCTGCTTTGCCAACAGAGAAACCTCAAACCCTTCTCAATGCACCTATATAATCTGGAAAATTTTGTTTCCTGTAGAGTAGATGCTATGACAAGGAGGATGCAAGTAGAAGGACTTTGTAGTTTCAGGAGAGGAGTTGTCTTAAAAGTTGTCTTAAAAGCAGACCTATAAATTAAATAGTAATGTGTTTTTGAGGTTAGATTCCAGTCTCAAAAGTACCAGGGGCAGTATTGTGTCTATAAAAAATGGGAATCATATGACTTACGTGAAAAAGAATAATACTGCAGGCCTGTTGAGAGAGGAGAAAATGGTGAAAGAAACTCCTTCCCTAGACAGGAACTGCTTCCAGTGATTGGAATCGTTGAATTCTGGATATACACATGTAGAAAAACGCTTCTGATCTTGTGATGTTTATGCCACAAGGCACTTGCATCTAGGAAGGCCAAATTCAAGACTGACCCATTGTTAGCACACCATTTATTTCAGATAGGAGAAAATACAGATATATGGTTTAGGGAGAGGAGTTTAGCTTTAACTTAGGATTGTCAGGCTTTTGTACTCATTGATACTGAACACAGAAAGGGTTTGGGGCATGTGTCAAATTGTTTAAACTGACAGATGAACAGACAGAAAATTGTGGATTACACTTAATGTACTGCATTTTAAGTAATTTGTGTATCGACTTACTGTGTTGCATTTTCATTATCAACAATATATGTTTGATCTGATAGAAATAATTACTATTTAGTTCTGGAAAATGACATTTGATCTTGAGGCCTTAATTTTATTGTAAAGCTTGGTTATTCTTAAAATTTATGGCCACCTGCTTCTTATGACAATATTCTTCTTGCCAGACCACAAGAAGACAGAGCTGCCAAATGGAAGGGAGTAGTCATCTCCATTGCAAAGTCAATAGTCTCTAATGTTTCTAACTCTACAGCAGCAACTCTTTCACCTTCTAATAAATAAAAGTGCATTGGTGGGTGACTGAACAAGGTAGAATTACTTGTGGCAAGATCAAAGCAATATGGCTTTAAGGGAGTCTGAAGTTTATTTGACTTGAGTATGCTTCTCCTCTTTCTACTAATACTGAGAGGAGAAAAATCCCTCAGTTTACTTAGGAATAAAATATTCAGTGTGCTGCATAGCAAATTCTAAATATTTCCTTAATGCTTTACTTTGTGCTCCTCTGCACCCCAGCAGATGTAGGTATTTCTCATGGGGTGTTCATGTTAATACTAAGATAACATAGTGAAGAGAGATAAGCACTGTTCTCTGAATGATTGAATGGAGACATTTAAATTCTGCTTAGCTAGGAAGGTAAGACCAGGTGTCTCCATGATCAGAAGGAGCAGATTTTGCAGAATGTGTTGATGTGGTTGAAGAGAACTGCAAAGTAGTGTCTTAATTTCTTAATTGCTGAGACTCATGGAGGAGATCTGTAAGAAATTGTGTGGTCTCAATCTTAGAGTTGTATCCTCATTGTGTACCCAAAAGTGAGCAGAGGAATGCATCCTACAAATAAGCAAGGGCAAACAACTATCAGTAAAAGAGAGTAGTTAAAGCAAGAGAATTCACTGTGAGTTTCCAGGTTGATCTGACTGCTCCTGTGATAGACTTGGAGCGGAAAGTGCCTTTCTTTTATGCCATGGTACGGGGTGAGTATTGCTTGTGAAGTCCCATTCCTCTTGAGCTCTGATCTGGTGGTTTGCATTCTGACTACCCTTTTGAAGAGGTGCTGCCCTTAAAAAATGAGGAGAATGCCTGGCAGCAGTGTAGGAAATGTGGTGGAAATCCTGCAGGAATTACTGAAGAGTGAGAAGTGTCCTGTGTTTTCTGCTGACCTGTCTGGCACTTCCTGCAGCCTCAGGTTTCTGCATTACTACTTTTCCGTGGGTTTTTTTGTAAAAGAAGGAAATGGAGAGTTTCACTGCAGATTAAAGCCTCATTTATTGTTCATGATCAGGTTTTTAGCCAGTGTAAATTCTTGCTTTAATAAGAGGAGGATGAAGAGGGGAATATATGCGGACCTTCCATTAGATTTTGGTTTTCACACCAGTACCTGCTGCCGTTTACCTCTGCTTTAAAATTCTTTATTTCAGTCACCCAGGTAGAAAACTTGATTGTAGTCTTACCGTAGGTCTCGCTACCTCATCGTGAATTTAATTATAGTTTGTATTTTTAGGTAAGGCAAGTCCTGCATGGTTGAGATAGTTGCAGCTGTATTGCCCACAGTGATGAATTATTTCTTCTACTCTGAATCACCTATCAAACCAGTGTGACAGGTTTTAATAGCAATGTCCTGTTAATAGAAATTTTTGTTACAATGAATGATCCTTTTGGAACATTGACGTGAGATTAATGGGCTGGTGTTGCACACTGAATGTGGTGCATTTTATTGAACTGAACAGCACCAGTAATTGAAGTAGACTTGAGTTTCTCCTTGTCCTTGGAAGTCGTTTGCTTTCAGGCAATGCTGAGTTTTATAACTGCAGAGGAGGAGTATTTGATGATAGGAGAGGAATTTAGGTGCTTTATGAAAAGTTTGACAGACTTAGTATCGAAAAGAGCGTTTTGCCTTGTTTTTCATTCCTTCCATTGCTCTGAGGTTTGCAGGGTTATTTACATAATGTATACTTACTTTGGGGGGCTTCAGTTTCAGTTTGTATGTTTATAAACACCAATAATAGTATAAAGGGGCACACATCAGCTACTGTGTGGCACCAAAGATATGAATTTGTGAGGTGTCACTTCCTACACCTGGCTGATGTGCATATGTCCTTGCCTTTTTTCTCCAGAACATGGTAATAATTTTTGGCAGAAGAGAGTTGTTGCAGCGAAGCACAGAATCTTGTTTTCTGTTCAGTTAAATATATTTTGCTAGTGGCACTTAATAAGTAGGGTTAACATTATTTGTACAGCACTGGAAAAATACACACTTTTGTTTAAAATTAAACTGATTTCATAATAAAAATCTGTATATGTGCTTGGAGATGTTAACATGCAGTAAGAAATACTTAAGGTTGCTCAATGCTTTCTTTGACTTTGTCCTTGTTTTATTCACTTGTTTCATGTTTCGTGTGTATCTGTTTGATGTAGATGTAACAGTGAGAGTCTGCACAAGATGCCAGAGCACTGGCTAAGCTGTGTGTTAGAAGAAATCAAATCTTGTGATCCTTCTTCCACACTGTGTGCAACCCGACGGAGTGCAGGAATTCCATTCTACATACAGGTACCAACTAATGTCACTGCCTCTGATTTAAATATATCCTCCAGAAAGGTCATAAAAAAAGGAAATTACGTATTTATTTTTCCCACTTCAACCGCTTTTAATCAAACAGTTCTTTGGGGTTTTTTTATGCAGACTTTTATTGCCTTCCTGCAGCCAAGAAGCTGTTTGTAATTGAGCCATGTTTGGCATCTCAGTTCTATTGACTGTTGAGATTTTTGGCTTGTGGTGGATTTCAATGGCATTTCTAAAGACTGTGTTTAGGCTTTGTGTTACAATTGTAGTAATTCTGACAAATTCATAGATAATTCACAGATTAAGTAAGGCTTTGTTAACTATGTGCTACTTCAGTGCAAAGTGGGAGGGTGGTAGAATATGAACAGACCTTCACAGAATTGTAAAATGGTGACCTATTAAATACTGCAAAGAACTGGGAAGGCCACTCACCAGCAGTAAGGCACAAGTAATAGTGTCACACTGACTGGTGTTGACTGGCGGTCTCAAGCACAATGAAGGAGTACATTACTGAAGACTTGTATCTGAGAATGTGGGGCCATGCTCCCTCATTCTTCCCACTCCCTGTGTTACCTTCAGCTCCATTAATCCCAGCCTCTTTGACTTCTGCCGAGTTCAGGACTGATGGTGGGATGGCAGTGTTTTGTCTCTGCTTGAAGTGTCACCTCTTGCTGAGTGCCTCACATTAGTATGCAGCACCTCATCTACGTCCTTGTGGAGTCAGTCACTGCAGAGTTGATTTTGCAGATTACACTTCACTTATTTTCATTCCTTTGTTCCTTAAAGCAGCCATATTTGCTTTCCCCTTAATTAACCTCCATGATCTTGATTTTCAACCACTTTTCTAAGACAGGAGTCCAAGAGTAACAATACGGTTTGTAACTTTCTCGGCTCTCTGGAGTACAGTCTCAAGCACGTTCCAAGGATCTAAGGGACTGCTAGAAGCAAGCTCTCCCTGCCAGAATAATTCATCTTGCTTGTTTTCCACTCTGAGTTTGCCCTGAGAAAGTTGAGGCAGCCAGCTTCTGTCTGACCTCTTATGTCAGTCACAGCCTGCTCCTGGCTTGCTAGATGTGTGTGCAAGGCAGCAGAGATCAGAAGTAGGGCACTGGTTTCAGACATTTTTCCTGTTCATTTTCAGCAGTTAAATATCTTTCTTACTTCTAAGAGTAAGTTGTCTGCAGAAGGAATTTAGTGATTTCATGTTTTCTGGTTTCCCCATTCACACCACACAGCTGGAATCTGATGGACATTATCTAGATTTAATCTTGACAATGTGGAAAAAACCCCAGCATTTTTGAATCAGTTTTTTAGTAAAATGTTAGGTTACTGTAAGGACTAAGTGGACCCAGTGATATCCCACTGCATGTGTAGTCTGCAGTTGGCCTACTGACTCCACAGGGCAAAGCTTGCACTGTGCCACAGCTCTGTGGGATAAATAGGTCAAGAGGCTTAGGCTTCTTTTTTGACAGCTCTGGAAGAGTACAAAGTTTAGTCAATTAACAGGAAAGTTTTAAATTAACATTGGGATTAGTCTGAAATAAACTATTTTCATACTGTAATTTTATAGTAAAGAGGGGTGGTAGTGTTTTTTGGTAGTAGCTTTGAATGTGCCTGTAGACTCAGTAAAATGAAATGAACTGTCAATGCCATGTGGCATTTAGATAATAAAAATACAAGCTGTAATGTGGATCCTAACAGCAGTAAAAGAAGGTTATTTTATTACTGCAGTGTGGTCTCTTTGCTATTTACATCCTATGATGTGTTCTTGTTAACCTAAAACACATCTATTTTAATGAGAATATGTAATTTTTGAGGTTATAACCATTCCATGACCTCTTTAAAATAGGAATGTTATTACTGAATAGTGCAAAGGTGCAGCTCTAGTTAGTGGGTGGGAAAACATGATTTTCAGCTTCAATATTATGAAATTTAGGCTTCAGGTCATTCTCTCTTTTATGCTTCATGAACACCTCTTTTTTTTTCCCACCAGCCCTCTGTTTCTCTTGTCATTAAAGATACTGATAAACTGACAGAAGTTACTCTGGAGTTTCTGCCTAAACTCTGTAATTCATTTGGTTCTTAGTGATGCTGAACAGACTCTAGGCCCCAAAGCACAAATAGATGATAATATTTTATTGGTAATAAATGATTTATGATTATCCATTTGTCCTAGGTTGGAAAAAATCAACAAGAGCTAATGGATAAAGAGAGACTGTTCTAAATTCAGTCCTGAATTTTAGAGAACTAATTTAGAGTATTTTCATCTCAGCTGGCTGTCCTATCCACTGAAATACTGTTTGGAGAGGAATGCATCTCTTCCTTTATTTAAAAAATGTGCTGCTTGTTTTATCCTGTGTTGCAAACCAGAATTTATTATTTGGCTAGCCCTTGTAATCTCAAATAGGTATTATTAACCTTAAAAAAAATCCATACTAGGAAATGTAAGTATTTATAGTACAGCAGATACTTTTGCTGTCCAAAATGCTATGATTTTTACACTGACAAGCTTTGAACAAAGCTGAGTTGAAACTGAAACATAATTTTTTGCAAATTTTTCTTAGTCATTTTGTATGGTCAGAAGCTAGGCTGTGCTATGGTAAATACAGGAATGAGAGAAGAACTGGTAGTACAGGAAAATGGCTGGAAACACCTGATTTTTTAAATTCTTTTTTCTGCTTTCTGTAGGCTTTGTTGGCATCAGAACCAAAGAAGGGCAAAACAGATTTGCTGAAAATGGCAATGAAAGAATTGATATCTCTGGCTGCACCTTTGAATGAATCTTTAAGTGTAATTCCACAGGTAAGATTCAGCCTCTCATCAAAAGGCAAATGTCAAAAGTGTGTTCAGGTTATTTCGAACAGTTAAGGAAAGAGTGGTTTTTTTTTAATGAGGATAGTCTGTTCTTACTGTCTGTAGCTAAATTTTAAAAGCTTTGCATGTGTAGAGGTTACAAAGTTACTGTAAAATATATTAAAAAATGGATTGGACATAATTCCATAGGTCTTTTTATAGTACAGCAAATGAAGTCATATATGAGCAATTTACTGCCTAGAGTATATTTCTAAACAGATAGATAAGTAACTTCCTTTCTGCAAGTTTGTAAATGAGCAAGCAAGCTTTGCTTACATTTAAAGTAAATAAATGAGTTGTTTGTGCATGAATCATAGTGAAACACTACATGAAAACTGATTTTAGTCATACTTAAAACTTAATTACCTACGTTTGGAATACTAAAAAACTTATTTTAAAGACATGACCTTTATCTTCAAAATGTTATCATTTACTCTCTGTCGGTTTGTAAGTGCAAGCCATAATTTGTTCCCAATACACAGAAGGATGTCCTAATGACTCTGCCAGATTTTCTGCTGGTATAGTTTTATTTAGCCTTGTCAAAGTCTATGAAGCTACGTGTATTAGCACCTTCCCTTACAGAGGGTAGAGAAATATCAGAAAATATGCTCCACATGGTAGAGTAAGCCTGGTTGTCAGTTTTAGCTTAATATTGCCCTCCTGTGAGCTGTAGTTTATTTTTTCTCACAGTATCTACAGTGTGTCAAGAATGTTGGAAAAGATGATTCTGAACTTCAGAAGTTATTTTTACAGCCATGATAAGCTAAGGATAAAAGAATGTTGGCCTTCACTTGCAATGCCTAGACTATAGTTGTTAGATGAATATATTTTTAAACTGTAACTGCTATTAACTGTGTTAACTGCAGCACTATTTTAATGCATTTTTAAGCAGCAGCATTTATTGTATTTAATATGGAATTAAAGTGCTGTAAATGTGTATATAGATTGCTTTTGCTTTGCACGTTCACTGTTGTAATTACATAAAGGAAATTTGAGATATTTACTAATTAATTTATGTTTTTCATGCATTTCTTCTCCCACCACAGGTTCATGCTTTAAATATCCTCCGGGCACTGTATAGGGATACACGTTTAGGTGAAAACATCATGCCTTATGTTGCAGATGGAATAAAAGCATCAATTCTAGGGTTTATGTCACCTGTCTGGGCAGTAAGTTAATTCTTATTTTTGCTTGTCTAGTTTAACAGGAGTGGTCCTGTTCAGTGAAGCTTTGGTCATGTTTGTAAATGGCAGTACCACAATTTCTGGAATGTAATATTTTAAGGTATGGTAAAAAATAATGTAGACCTGCAAAAAAGTCATGATTTTGATCTTGTTTTTTTTTGGTTTTGTTTAATTTTTCTTAATGTGAACTACTGACATCCACAAAAGGTAGGGACACAGATTACCTTATAGGTTAAAGTCTGTCTGGCTGTTAAATTTTGAGTGAGTGCACTTAGCTTGTAAGAAGTGCCTTTACGTTCGTTCTGACTGTTACTTTGCTCTTGATTTAAAGATCTCATGTGGGATGTTCAGGTAGAGCACTTAATGATCTGCTGTGCATAAGGGTGAATGCTCTGAGCCACTAAAAATCTGGATGTATTCCTTATAATAAAGATAGACATCTCCAAAGAACCTCAACTTTCCAGGGGTACCATCTTCATTGGAAGGATGCTCTGAATTAACAGTTTCCATGTGCTGACCTGTAGCATGCTTTTCACTCAGCTGTTATTCTTTTTGACTGTACATTAATGGTATTTTAAAAGATATTGTACATTTCAAAGGGATTTTTAAAGTATAGTTCTTATTTTTTCCACTAGGTACGAAATTCATCTACACTTCTTTTTAGTGCTCTGATTACAAGAATTTTTGGAGTTAAAAGAGGGAAAGATGAAAATTGCAAAAAAAATAGGTAAGCTTCACTTCATAGCAGTTAGAAGTTTGCAAAACATGACCTTAGCCAACAGCAATTGGAAAATGTTCGTTGCTTTATATATTTTGAATCATGATGTTACGAGAACATCTAGCTGTGCTTAAACCGTGCTGCCAAGAAGTGTAGGGCCAAAAATATCTGTTGTTAAACACAGAGTTAATTTATACTCAGGTGCAATTTCACAGGAGTGGAATGTTGCTGAGAGGTTTTGCTACCAGTGGCTCTTCCAAAAGCCAGGAGCTCTCATGGTCACAAAACAGACCTATTGCTCTTGACAGCAAAGAGAAAGGGGGTAAAAGAGAAGAGAAACAGTGGTTACACGTGTGTTCACTTCCTTCTAGAGCAGATCTGGAGTTAAGTTCACACCTGCTAATTTGATTTTCCCTTTTAGTCTTCTGCTCTTGAATACTGTCCTATCTCTTTTCTCCAGGCTCTAAAAATTGCAGCTTGCAGAGCTATTTCTCTTCCAAGGGATCCTGGCCTTGATTCTGTAGTCCTGCTTCAAATCCCTTACTATTTCACTTTATGTAAAAACAGTTCTCCTCTGACTCTTAAAACTCCTCAGTCCTGAGCATTCTGGTTTCTTTGCACCCTCCAGTTGCTGCACAAGGACCCCAATGTTTTCTTTGGGCCTCTTCCTTTAGCTTTTTCACCAAACGAAGCATATCCATGCCCTGTGCTCTATAACTGAGGTTTCTGCTCTAGGAGGGATGTGAAAATAACCCTGGATGTAGAATGAACTCATTAAAAAATATTCCTGGGTAAGCCCATGGGGCCATAGAGTGGTCATGGTATGGACATTATGGTAACCATTTCAGAAGTTCCTAATGGATTTTCACGTCACAGGCAAGGCATGCAGTTTCTGAAAGAAGGCAATTGTTACAATTTACTTTCAGAAATTTCACCCTTTTTATAGTGGTTCCTCACTGTTGATCCATGTAACTAAGAAGTTTTTCATGCGTATTTTGAAAAACTAAATGTCTTGGGATGATACTGGTCTGCCATCTTTTAGATGCTACATAGATGCCATTTTAGCTGTATGAAATAGTTGATTTCAGGTGTCACTTGAAAAACTTAGTTACTGTGCATGTATGAGCATGAGGAAGAAATACAGGTGGGAAACTGGAGGGAGGTTTCTCTTAGGAAATAACTCTTTTCCCAAAAACAGTTTGAAATGTTAGCTGCTTTACTGCATGAAATTATTCTTGTTTTGTCGCATTCCCAAGTCACATCTAAATTCACTCCTGTAACCCTCCTGAAGCTCAAGTAGAGCAATAAAAAGTGCTTTTTGTTTCTTGCCTTCCTACTTTGGTTTTATAACAGCATTTAAAGTTGCTTTTTTTTCTTTGATTTTTATACTGAGCACTTACTGAAAGAAATAGACACCCTGCTTTTTAAAACTTGTATCTTTGGGTAAAACTTGGCACTAACTTCTGCAGTGGGGAGGCAAAGTGACTTCTCAGGTGCATGCAGTGTGATCTGTGGAATCTGAGATTTCTGTTTGTGAAGCTGCAGAAGGTAATGCATTTGAGTGTTTGTTGGAGATGGGAGATACCAGAATGAAGGAAAGGCATCTTATATGTAGCTGAATTAAATTTATTAATGACAATGTTAATTTTTATGTAACTGGCCCTGTTGACTTGCTTCTCTGAAACTTTTGCTTACAGTAATTTCTCTATAGTCATTTAACCAAAAGATGTTAAAGCTGGGCTGGCTTTCTTCATCTGTTCATTTAGCAGTTGTGCATTAAACATTGCATGTAATCACTTCTGCTGTTTTCTATGTGTGCTTGTCAGAACTGTGACACAGGGATAAGGAAGACACTTCTTAAGACAGGTCTGTGAGATACAGGAGGTGTGAAAACACATTTGATTTGATTTGCAGCTCCTGTCTCTGCAGGAGAGCCCCACAGGTGGGTGGGTATAAGGTAGGCTGTGTTTGGGAAGAGAGAGGTCTGTGTTTCTGTGTTTGGCACCACGAGGTGTCACCATTACTGCACAGCTCCCTGCAGCCTCCTCCCTGGGTGCAGCTGTGCTTGGGCGCTTCTCTTCAGGACCTGTAAACTCAGGGAGTGTTTTGCTCATACAAAATTCATGTATTCAAATCAAGTAATTTTTTCCCCGTTTCCAAAGCACTGGCATTTTAGCAACTTGAATCTATAGGAGCTTTTTGTGTAAGTCACCTTTTGTGAAAGGTTTAGACTGCTTGTTCTGTCGCCTTGAGGATGTTCTGTTCACATTAAGAGAGAGTCTGTCCAGAGACCAACTCTCCCATTAGGACCCTGCCTAGGTTTCCAGTTCACCTGATTTTAGAGGTTAAGTCTGTCACTTTTGTATTAGCAGGGAGTTAGGTTATTACTGGGCTATTCTGGGCATCTCTCTAAAGAAGCATGGACTTTCTGACTGGTTTCTCAAAAAGAGTTCCTATAATACTGATAGAATTGGGGTGGTTTGTGTAGACTTCCAGAAAGAAGCTTTGCTGGAACATGAAGTATTGATGCATCTTTTTAATTTTCGCATGGATGAAAAAGATGATGAGTTGGAAAATTAATATGTGAAAAAATAACAGCTGTGTGCAGTCTTGCTAGTAGAAGTGAGAGGAGTTGTCTGAAGGCTCTTTACAGTGGTCCATGCAACTATGCTTGTTGAGCTTTTTCTTCTAGTGAAAATAAAGTTAGAACTCTTCTCTGGCTTGTCTCTTTCTGAGAAAGACTGTATCAAAACTTCTAATGCTGCTGCAAGTGTGTGTGATAGTGTCTGTATGTAGGTGTATGTGTGTGTATTTGGCTAAATGATGTTCTGAATTACAGAGAACTTATATTTGTAAAATGGCCTAGTTACCACTTCCTTGTAGAGGGTTTATTTTAAATTTTATACTTGATTTGGCAATACAATGTTCTTAAATTCTACTATAATTTAAAATCTACAAGACTTGGAGTGAAATTCTAGCCACATGAATTCAAAGTACTGAGGAAGTTTGGAAAGAAGTCTTTGCATTGTGCCCACTGATATTTGGTTACAGAAAATGTGTTCTGCACAGATGCATCTTGGTGTGCTTTAGAGAAAATACCCCTCTTCTCCAAGCCCTTCACAGCACAGGTGTTTGTGCTGGTGCACTCAGACACTTCATATTTGCTGTGCCTGCATCCTAGCTTGCCTGGCTAAGGTGGGATCAGCTGTGAGCTGTGCCCCAGCCCCATTGCTGTTCAGCACTTGAACTGTATCCTGGGATCTGCCCTCCACCCAGGCACTGAGTCAGGAGAGGGTCCCAGCTTCCAGGCACATCCTCCCTCTGGCTGCTCTGGCATCAAAGAATGATGTTGGTTGGAAGAGAGCTGAAAGAACAGCTGGTTCCATTGCCCCTGCCATGGAAAGGGACTCCTTCCACTAGGACACCTTCTACTAGACCATATTGCTCAAATCCCTATCCAACCTGGCCTTGAACACTTTTGAGGGACAGGATATCTGTAAATTCTCTAGGCAACCTCTTCCAGTGTTTCACAGTGAAGAATTTATTCCTAATACTTGATCAAATTCTGCCCTCTGTCAATTTAAAGCCATTCTCTCTTGTCCTATCCCTACACACCCTTATAAAAAGTTCCTCTGCAGCTCTCTTGGAGGCACCACCCTGAGGGGCCCATTGAAGACACGAGTACTGTGCTTGGTTTAATGTTAATTGATTAAATAGAACTTTGGACAGCAATGAGTTCTGTAGGCCAATGATTTTTTGTATTAAATAGCCACTTCTTTTTTTCTTGTGCAGTCCGTTTGCAGTGTAGATTTGTTTGTTCCATGCACTTTCAAAGAAGCTGGAGTGTACTGTGTGTGCTTCATAGTTCTGTTTCTTTCATGGTTATTTATTTTTCATCCTAGTGTTGCTACAGATTGCAAATTGTTTAAAGTAGATTTTTGGTGTAGTTCATTGTAGTTTCAGTGTCACATAAATTAGGATGTCTTGATATGAAACTATATGTATTATGATGGTTAATGCAGACCTGAAAATCAAAATGAAAATGAGCGTAACTTACATGTGCAGTTAACTGAATTTAATTTTGAAATGTAATTTCTCATGATAGAGGAATTCTTTTCTTTCCAAAGGAGTTACAGTAAAAATAGTGGTACTTTCACACACACACACACACACACACACACACACACACACACACACACCCATATATATATATATAATGATTTTTTTTTAATGTATATGTCAGATACCTTTTTGGTCTGTAGTACAATGCCAATTAAAGCTGTTACTGCTTGTTAGTGAACAAGACACTTGTCATCAGATATTTGATGAGACTCTTATCAAATCCTTGGTATTTCAGACTTTTTTTTTTTTTATTTCCTTCCCATCCCAAAGGAGAAGCATGATCAGGAATTGTCTTTGAGGCAGTTTGCCATTAGAACAAGCTTCAGTCTTTATGGTAATAAAAAAGGATCATCCTGGTTTATCTGAAAATGAAATTTGTGTATTTGGAATACAAATGTTGCAGAGTTCTTAGGATGAGAGGCCATCCTCAGGTATAGGCCAGGATTAAAGAATGAGTGAAATGGGAGAATTCCCTCTGCTTCTCACCTGTGGTGGAGGAGGTTTCAAGAAGGAAAAGCTTCAACTGTGTAATTAAGCCAGGGTTAATTAAGCCTGTAAACAGCCAGGGTTTTAAGCAAGTCTGAGATGGTACTGTGCAACCTGATGATTTTTACATTTCAAAACTAGTGTATATATGTATATATTTGCATTTTGGGAAGAGGGAAGCTCCTATGTATTTATAGTGTAGTGAAGGGATAATGCACATGCAGGAAAATATTTTGTTGTCAACACAGATTTTCTGTGGAATTAAGACTCATGCTGCCTGGAATTTGAGTATGAATGCTGCCATGTTTTCGGTGTTGGTTTAGATCTATTTGTAAAGAAAGAAAACTTTTCTTGCCATCTACATTGTCTCTAATTTATAGCTGTCAATAGATGTTATTGAC